TATTTGGAAATAGCATCATTTTAGATGTATTTTGTGGAGTAAGGCGACCTCTAATCCAATACCAGTGGTGTCCTTGTAAGAAGATAGAGGCACTGGGCACACACCATGTGGAGACCAAGGCAGAAACCTTGGCCAAGCCTTGCAGGTCACCAGACTCTAAAGAGCTGTAGCTGTAGAATGTTCCCCACAGCCTCACAAGGAACCAGCACTTTGGAGTCCTTAACCTTGAACTTCAGGCCTCCAGAACTGGGAGCTGATCAGCTGTTGTTTTATACCACTCAAAGTGTGGGACTTTGTTACCACAGGCCTGGGGGGATGAAAGCATAGGCCTTTCACATCATCAAGAAGGTATATCTGTTAAGGTAGAGGCTAGAGGATCTTGGATTAAACTTTCAAATAAGGTTTATTATCTTTAAGTTTAGAATTTTTTTCTTATTGCCTCCCTACTCTTCACCACTAATCGTCCCCTTTCTAGCTCCCAGCATTTTGCAGCTGCCCTCCACAGAGTTCTTTGCCTGTCTGTACTGATTCTTCCCAGTAGCGTTTTCTCTGATGGTAGAAGGGCTTTTCCTCCACAGTCTGCATGGTGGCCACAAGCCCCACATGGCCACTTTAGGCTATGATCTAGAAACTGGAGTTTTGAGCTTGCTTAATAAACATGTAAATCGAGTCCCACAACTAGTGGTTGTGGTGTTGGGTAGCACAGATCTGTGCTGCGGAGCATGGAAATGTTTTTGTTTTTCATGGACTTGGGAAGCAGAGCAACGTGGTCTATTTGCCACCTTTAGTGATGTCTCTGGAATGTCTCAATATTCATTTCAAAGACAGCTTAGAACTAAACCAGCAATAGTGAGTTAAAAAGAAAAAAATGCATTGGCTCGGTGCAGATGAGCCCAGCTTCCTCCATGAGTAACTTTTGTGATGGTCTCTCCTGTCATAGGGAGGCTGGAGGAGCTGGACTTGCCTATGGGCTCTACGTCCTGCCAGGTAGCCCACAGCCTCTGGGGCACATCAGGCTCACCTGTGTGACTTTCAGTCATCTTAAGTTGGCTCCTAAACCCTGCGGCCACCAGCTGATAGAAAACAGATTGGGTTGGTAAAAATATGTGTGTGTGTTCTCACAGAACCTGAGAAAGTCACACCTCTACTTTGACAAAAAAATCTGTTTGTGCCGCTCCAATAATCACTTCCTAACTGGCGGGATCGCAGGCCATATGTTTGTGAAGTGGCTAGCCGGAGAGGCGCACTACCTCCATCACACCTTGCAAAATACCTTTTCTAGAGGTTCAGCTCTAATGTAAAAAAGGAGGAAGCCACAGGCCTCTGCTTCCAAGCAGCACTCACAAGATGAGTTGTTGCTGGAGATAATAGCCATGGGTGGCTGGCGGGCTGACTGTGCAGAGTTTCAATGCCAGCCAGAGTGTTTAAGGTCCAAGCAGCTGGCAAAATTATGCTTAGGGCTTGTTATACTATATAAGGATGAAGGAAGAGGCCAGTACCCAAAGATCTGAAGCAAGCCTCCACTAGAATGAGGAAGGGTCCATCTGCAGAAAACAGAACTTGTTTGGAGGTTTTATTTCTTGGGGAGACACCCAGCTCCCCGGGAAATTGTTTCAATTCTGCAAATGGCCATGTTTGAGCCCCTGGATTTTCCACTGGCTACCAGGCTGAGAAGAACCACCTTGCTCACCATGGATCCAGTCTCCAGGGCCTTTTCTGCTGGCCTTTTTCTGATTGTGACTCAGGAACTCAACTTTGGAGCTGATCATTGCTCCATGGAAGCCAGTGCACATACAGAAAAATGAAAGTTCCCAGAAGAGATCAAGGACAGTGCCTTCTCTCTGCAACCTTTCTCTGGAGTCAACACCAATCATTCTAGACACACAACTTTTCCCATAGTTGTTTCTGGAACAAGTATCTCCAATTTTATGACCTCATGTAATTAAACATGTGGCATGTTGTTTCAGTTACTTTTCTTCTTAGTGTGAAGTACTTGACAAGCTCAACTTAAGGAAGGAAGGGCTGATTTTGCCTCATGATTGGAGAACACACCATGTACCACAGCAGCGAAGGCAGGAGTGTGAGACAGCTGGCCACACTGCTTCTTTGTCAGGGAACAGAAAGAGGTGAATGCTGGTGCTTAGTTTACTTTCTTCTTTTTATTCAGTCCCATACCCCAGCCCATGAAAGGGTACTGCCTACTTTTAGGGTACATCTCCTCCACCCAGATAAACCTTTCTAAATATACCCTCATAGATACACCCAGAGATATGTTTCTGTGGTGATTTTAAAGCCAATCAAGTTGACAGTGAAGATTGGCTATCACACATGCCTCGATTTTCTTACCTGTGACTCCAAGGGGAGTTTGAGAAGAATTCAGGAAATGCAAAAGCTGTGTAGCCTAAGCTGGTCTGGAATTCTCCGTTGTTGAGAATGGGCTTGAAGTCCTCCCACCTCATCCTGAGTTCTGGGGTAACAGTACACAGGGCCTTAGAAAACATTCCAAAACACATGATTGACTTTTACGCCCATTTTGGTTAGTTTAATGGCTTTTTCTTGAGATGGATTTTTGCTATGTAGCCCAGACTGGCTTTGAACTTGGAGTGATCCTCCAGCATCTACCTCATGAGAGTGCTGGGATTATAGGTCTTTTCTATCATGCCCTGTTTGTTTTAGTTTTATATTAACTGTGTGCTATATAACCCGGTATGGTAGCACGTGTCTATAATCCCAGCACCAGATAAGCTGAGGCAGACACTGGGTGTGGTGGCATGTACCTGGGGAGGCAGAGGCAGGCAGATCTCTCTGAGATTAAGGTTACCATGATCCACATTGTGACTTTCAGGCAGGCTGGAACTAGGGAGACCCTGTCAAAAAACAACAGCAACAAAAAAAAAAAAAAGCAGAGGCTGAGTCAGGAAGTTTGTGAGTCCATGACTAACCTGATATACATAGATAAACCCTGTTTCAAGGCTCATGATTGCATGCCAGAGTCAGCTCACAAGTTATACCCTGTGACCTAACTCTGTACACTCCAGCAGAATGACACAAGGCTCATGTATCCTGGACTTGTACACTGCTGGCTATTTACGTGTATTTTTAAAAATTATTTTGTCAGTATTAGGGATTAATTTAGGGCCTTGAACTTTCTAGGCATCTTTTCTACCACTGAACTACATCTCCAATCTGCTTTTTAGTTAAAAAAAAAAATAAATAAAAACATGGTCTCACTAAGTTGCCCAGACTGGTTTTGCCTCAATTCCACCAAGTAACTGGAACTATACAGGCCCTGTATTATTATTATTTGGATTTGTTTTATTTTATGAGTATTTTGTCTACATGTATGTAAGTATACCACATGTGTGTAATGCCTGTGGAGGCCAGAAGAGGATGTCAGATCCCCTGGAACTAGAGTTATGAATGGTTGTGAGCCACTATGTGGGTGCTGGGAACCTAACCTGGGTCCTCTGCAAGAACAACCAGTGCTCTTAACCACTGAGCCATTTCTCCAGTTCCTATTATTGTTGGTATTCTTATTATTTTATTCTTATTATTATTTTGAGACAGGGTCTTCTTGTAGCCCCAGGTGGCTTAGAACTCGCTATGTAGACTAGGCTGGCCTTGAACTCACAGAGAGCTGGCTTCCTCTGTCTCCTTCCCAAATGCATGCAGGTGGCATGTGCCACTACAACTGGCCCCCGATTATTATTATTTTAGGAGACAGCATCTCATTAGTTGTTGAAGCTGGCCTTAAACTCCTGGGCTCAAAAGATCCTTCTGCCTCAGCTTCCTGAGTAGCTGTGAGCATAGGTTTGCACCACTATGCTCAGCTCTTGGAATTTTATTGTAACTGATTTCCCCTCTAGACAGGTTAGACCGTGGTGAGTGGTCAAAATATTTTGGAGGTTTCAGGTGCTAGAGGTTGAACACGGACTCAGTGTTTGCTAGTCCAGAGCCCTACCACCTACCTCTTCAGTCTTCTTTTTCACTGTGAGACAGGGTCTCTTTAAGTTGTTCTAGCTGGCCTTGAGCTCACTCTATAACTCAAATTGACCTTGAACTTGGGATCCTTCTGCCTCAGCCTCTAGAGTACCTGGGATGACAGGCCCGTGTACCAGGCCCAGCTTGAGCACTGATGCATCTCATGTTTCCCAGTGGACTTTTTTGATCCCTGTGTCTGGGAAAGCTCTACTCCATAGCCAGAAAGCAGCAAGGCACAGCCTCAGCTGGAAGTAGTACCCTCACTGAACAGAGCCGGCTCTATCCCAGTGTTTCCTCCTGAGGTGGCAGCTCCAACACTCCCTGAAGGAAGGAAGGAAGGTGTCTGGTGTTTTTTGATCTACACAAAGGCATTTTCTGTTCAGGGTAATTCTATATCCAGGCACCTTTGAAGATCAAAGCCAAAATAAACCAACCAGGAAATGGGATTGTCAGCTAGGACAGAAAACTCCTCCTTGTTGTGAGTGCAGAAGGAGGCTGGCCCATACCAGGAGCCTGTGTGTGACTTCAGAAGCCCCGGGGTCACACAGGCAGCCTACTCTTAAAAACAACAACAACAACAACAAAAAACAAGCCAGAGGATAATCACTCCACCCTTACTTTATGAGCAATGCTGGGGAGAGGTTTAGAGGATGCCCTGGGCATGTTTTCTGCTTTCCTGGGCCCAAGCAGAAGAACCAAGTTAACCTGTTATTGCAAGGTGCATTATAATTGACATATAACAATTATATGTATTTATGGAATGCAATGTGATAATTTCACATTCAATCTGCAATTGGGAAAATTAGAATTTCTGGTTCTCCAAACATTTGTCATTTCTTTATGTTGGGAATTTTCCAACTCCTTTCTTCTGAGTCTATAAAATATATGACAAATCATTGTGAACCATAGTCAACCATTGTGCTGGAGAACACTTGAACTCATTCCTCCTTGCTAACTGCATCTTGGTCCTTTGAGATTAGCACACAGCCTCTGCACTGACATATGCATTCTGTTTTCAGATGCACCATGAGGTCAGCACTGAGCTTCTCTTTCACACAAGAAACATGCAGGAGAAATGGAGGCTCATGGATTCCCTGTCCAAGGTCCTTCAGGGTTTAGGAGGACAATGAAAGGCTCCAGGACCAGCATAGACTGCCAGTCTGTTCTTCTGTCAATGTCTCACAAGTTGTCTGCAGAAGGGCTGTGTTCTACCCGGTGCTCCTGTGGTATGCTGGAACTTTCCACATCTATCTTGGAAGCTGAGTACACTTCAGTTTATCTGAGTATGCTGGTTTATAGTCACTGTGCAAATGTATCTGGTTAGAGTGATTGCTTGGCTTTATGGGGGTGCCCTCTCCTCCACATTGTAAAACCATTCATGTATAATCTACTTAAACATGCATTCATGACTGAGATTGATGGTAGTCCAAGGAGGGTGTTGTTTGGCATATTTTCAATGTTTGCAAAGGATGAGTATCTCCTGGACATGGGACACAGCGAATTGAGAATCCATGACCAGAATTCCAGGAGGTGCAGAATTTTGATCTGTGTGAAGTTAACCTAGGGATGGCCTCAGAGGCTAACTGCTGCTTTTCACGGGGAGTTCTCTTAATCTTAGGCATATAACTGGGATCTTTATAGCTTCTGCATGGGCCTGGATGGGGGAGGAGACATCTCCTTTTGCATGGGCTTTCCTGTCTTCTATAGTTGCATACCGAAATTGTCTTATCAGCAGGGAATTCTGAGTGGTTTTGCCCTGAGGAGAGGCTATCAGAAGGATTTTTACCTTGATGTTTCCTGCAGAGGTGGCTGCCTTCCTAGGATAAAGGCAGCTGAATAGGGACTTCCGAAAACATACATAACATTGAAACATTTAGTTTAGATTCCTTCTAGAGTGGTACCAGCAGAATTAGTGGAGCATTAATCTCATCAGCAGGCAAGGGGGAGGGAGCATCTACCAATCCTGAAATGTTGGTACCATCCAAAGAGCTGGGGGGTGGGGGGGACGGGGCTCAGATTATTTTGGAAATGTCCATAGCTTTCAAGTGCTGAGAGAGGGGAGGGGAGCAAAGGAGACCAGCTTTGAGTTCAGACATTCCTAGTTCAGAAATGTGTTCTAAGGGCAAGTGACCGTTAGGGACTGACTGTGTCTGTCCATTCATATATCAAAATCTTCATAACGTAATGGTATTGGGAAATGGGGTTTTGGATGGTAACCAAGGTTAAGTAAGGTCATAAGGCAGGATTCCTACGTAATCTGATGGGAAAAGGAAGGTATGGAAAAAGAGCTAGATAGACATCCAAGGGGTAGAGAGAGAGAGAGAGAGAGAGAGAGAGAGAGCGAGCTTGCCAAGAAGTGGGACTGCAGCAGGAAAGCAGGTATCTACAAGTCAGAAACAGGACCCACTGCAGACTCCAAATTTGCTTGAACCTTGATTGTGGGAATCCCAGGCCCCAGAACTGTGAGAAATTGAATTTGTGTTGCTTAAACCACTCATGGTATTTGTCATAACTGAACTTGACAAAACAGTGACTTAGACAATTGTTCTACCTCCCAGTGTTTCTTTCCTTAAAAAATATTTTACCTATTATTTTTTATTTTATATGTATGAGTGTGTTGCCTGTATGTATATATGTGTACTCATGTTGTGCAATGCCTGCAGAGGTCAGAAGAGAGCATCAGAGTCCCCTGGAACTGGAGTTACGGATGGTTGTTAGCTACCTTGTCAGTGTTAGGAATAGAACCTGGGTCCTCTACAAGAGTAGCCAGTGGTCTTAACTTCTGAGCCATCTCTCCAACCCCTCTCCCAGTGTTTCTTGACAACATCTCAATGTGATGAAGAGAGATGACAAGGACATTGTGGGAAATGAAGTCTGAAGCACCACAAGCCATTGTGGATGCACAAAACTAGTGTTGGTTAGTCTCTGAGCTCCAACCACCAAGCTACATTTTACCTGTTTTTGTTGCCTCACACGGAGGATGCTTTCAGAATGCACTGGTGGATGAGTGCATGGATGGTGGACAGGGCAGTTGGAGCTCATACAGATTCACCTGGGCTGCCTGGTTAGGTGTAGCAAGGCAGGAAGTCACCTATGACTGTGAGAAAGATCCTGAGGTCAGGGAAGGCTGTGCCCCAGTCAACACCCAGCTCCAGCTGTGCTAGACTCTGAAAAGGCAGTTTGTCTCAAAGGAGATTGAGAACCAACTTAAAAGAGTGAGAGTGCACCTCACATCTGTTGTACATGTTGTTTCCACTGAGGGTGGATCAGCTTCTCCCAGTTCCAATGAAGCCCACAGGGCTGGTTTTGGCTTCTAGTTTTCTGGGTAGACTGGACGCTGGAATTGCCGTTTCCTAGCTGGTGACACCATTCATATTGATCAACCTGCCCTAGCTTTAGTTTCTTCATCTGGAAAGATGGGTAATAATCCCAACCATACAAGGGTTTGGTGAGACTGATGGGCTATAGCATTTGTGTGAAGTGTCCATTGCAATGTCATCCCTAGGCAGGTGAGCTGAGGCTGTATAAAAAAGGTAGCTGAGCAAGCCATGGGGAGCAAACCAGGAAGAATATTCCGCCATGGTGTCTGCTTCAGGTTTACGGGGTTGAGACTTTATAAGCAGGGTGTAGAGGTTGTTTACATCTCTCCACAGAAGAAATTCTTACAACAGCTTTTCTTGTTCTTGCTATTTTGTTACATGTAGTCTCAAGTTAGAGGACTTTCCAGTCTTCCTCTGTCAGATGGTTCTTTCATATGATAATCTTGATGTGTCTCCAGCCCTGTTCTCCTGCAGGGTGACTCTAGAGCTCAATTTTGGTCACCATGCTGAGAAGGTGCCTTGGAACCCAGCACTTCTGAGAGTAGAACTCGTCCCACCCATGAGGAGGACTCTGTCCTCAGCTGGAGGAAGCCCCTGTCTTAATGCCTCTGTTACCTTCACTGGGGGCCCTGGCCAGGAGAGGCTTCTGAGTAGAAGCTTCAGAGCAAATGTGTGGCAACTTCAGGGCATGGAAAAGTTGCTTGTCTGCTGACTGCCAGTCTCAGGCCTCTGAGGACTCTGCTGTTTACAGGACAGTGTGGGGATCCTTGGTACAAAGAGGGAGACTAAGGAAGAAGTGTGGACCAGGAACCATGGCTGCTTAGGTAAACAGCAGGATTTACAAGAGGTTGAAACTGCTATTCTTTGTGCCAAAGGCTTACGTTTTATAAAATTACAATAGTAATTCAGATTTGGCTAGTCTTATTTATGTGTATAGCCAACGTCTGTTCAGTTAATAAAGTATTCAAGCCTAGCTTGGACAGATTAGATCACCTCTAAATATTTTGTTTCTTTATTTTTAATTTATGTGTATGAGTGTTTTGCCTGCATATATGTAAGTGTATCCATGTCATGCAATGCCTAAGGAAGTCAGAAGAGGATGTCAGATCCCCTGGAACTGGAGTTACGGACAGTTGTTA